CCGGCATAGGTGTGACATAGACATTAAACATGATCTTTGTGTTCATCCTAAGACCTATTCGTTGAGAGACACTATTGAGGTCATTGAGCATGGTGCTTAGGTCCTCCAGCGATTCTGCCAACTTGAAAACGTCTTCCAATGCAGCGGTGAAGAGTTTCGGGGATATCACGTCACCCTGTCTTACACCTCTCTGAAATTAGATAGGTTTCGTACTCTGGTTCTGTACTCGGATAGCCATCGTAGACCTACTGTACAAGCACTTCAGCACTTCGATTTACCGACAGTCAACTTGGCATCGCTGAAGGGACTGCAGCACCGCCCAAATTTCAAAGGAATCAAAGGCTTTCTCATAGTCCACATACGCCAGACATAGTGGCAAATTGTACTCCTCGGACTTCTGTACAATTTGCCGAATATCTTTAGCACCATAGACCACACACATACCCGTGTGTGGTCTATGGTGCTAAAGATCTTTCGGAAACCGGCTTGTTCGGAAGGCTGGAAGTCATCAAATCTACGCGCGAGACGATTCCTAATGACTCTCGAAAACAGCACGTAGACGCGGCTCAGAAGGGAAATCGGTCTGTAGTAGTAACAAGACCACCGCACTTCTGCTCCACGCCTCCGGTGTAACGCCACCATGGAGAACGGAATTAAAAAGCTTGTGAAGGACTTCAAGTACCGGTCTTCGACTCGCTTTCAGAAGCTCCGCTGTAATTCCATTTTCGCCTGGGGCCTTGCCGTTTTTAAGGTGCTGGAGAGCCATTCTAATCTCGCTCAGACTGACGTCCGGGATATCTTCGAAATAGTGTCGGATAAGACTCGCTCTTGGATCGTTACTCACACTTACGTGTGGCTCCAACGATGACGTGTACAGCTGCCCATAGAACCTCTCAATCTCACTCAAAATCTCAAGTGCACCGGAAACGATGCGGCCACACTCGGTATTCAGCTTTGACAGTCGGCTCTTTCTGGCAGACAGATCTCTGGCAAAGACTTTGGAGCCTTGGTTCCGCTCGATCGTTTCTTCAATACAAGCTGTATTGAAGTTGCATAAGTTCCGCCGCATGCATTTGGAGATCTGTCTGTTCAGTTGCCTGTATGCTGTCAAATCTGTTGAAGAATGTAGGTTCATCTCCCGTCTAACAGCCATGAGATTGAGAGTGTGATCGGAGAGTTTTTGTGTTCGTCTGCGGCGGGTCTTGCAGAACTTAGCTCCGACCGCATGGACAGTTTCCACGAGCTTGTCATTCATATCGTCCACTTCATTGCAGTCTTCTAGGCACTGAAAACGGTTTCGTAGCTCGAGCTAAAAGGTTTCGGGACTTTGGATTAGAGCACGAGGGGGACGGAGCGTTGACTACATAAGAAGTGACCTCTCCAACTTTACGTTTAGGTTCAGTGTGCCTCTCACCATTCGGTGATCGCTGCCGGTTTTCACCCACGCGATCACTGAGACATCACTGAACAGTTGTCGTCTGGTCGTCATAATGAAGTCAATCTCATTTTTTGTGGAACCGTCGGGGCCCGACCAGGTCCACTTCCTGTGGGGCCGCTTCTGGAAGAAAGAGTTCATCATAAAGAGTCCCTCTTTCTCCATGAAGTCGGCCACCTGCTGGCCCCTTGGGTTCCGTTGCCCTATTCCGAAATTCCCTAATTTCAGCTCACCGTTCTTTCTTGTGTCTAGTTTTGCGTTGAAGTTTCCCATTAACACCGTATAGTGGGTTTTGGAGGAATACATGGCTCTAGAGATATCCTCATACATATCCTCCACCTCCTCATCGGGGTGTGCCGAGGTTGCTGCGTAAACCTGTATGACCTTTAGCGAATAGCGTATGGTGATTCTGAGTATAAGGTACGCAACCCTCGTCGACACACTCCCAATCTTTACAACGTTGTTAACGAGAGGCTTGTGGACGATAAATCCTCCACCTAAAACACCTCCTTGGGACAGATGGTCGCCCTCCCGGTGATAGAGCAAGTTGCCGGATTCGAGGATTACCGTGTCCTCCCTCTCTCTTCGGACTTCGGATAATCCTATAATATGCCAGCGTAGCTTGTCTATCTCTTCTTCCAGCTCCACGATCTTCTCGTCAGTCCTCAGAGTGCGTGCGTTGTATGTTACCAAGTCGAGTCGTCTTAGTCTGGCAACCGATTACCTCCACCGGAGATTCTTAGCACCCCCTGCCCCGCCGTTACCATGGTCGCTACCGTAGCCAGGAATAGCGGGGCCGCCGGGGACTGGGGGCCGTTTATTATTGTCATTGCTCATGGGGGGTATATTGCCATAGTTGCCACGCTTGGCGAGCGGGTTGGCAACCGCAGTTTTTTTTATTCTAATTTTTGCTGTTATCAGGAAGATGCTGCTGCCCATCTCCTGCCTGTTTCCCTTTGTCGCCTTTTACGACACCCACGGGAAAATATGGGGTAGTGGATATTCTTGACCGCCACTACACGGCAAGTAGTGTTAGCGTAAATATAAGAAATCATTATATACTTTATTTTTTACTTTTTTTTAATACTTTTTTAAATTTTCTTAAGTTACGTTTAAAGAAATATTTGTAAACATAAACATAATTAACTATATATCGATAAACAAATTATTTTATTTTAATAGGAACTAAGAATAGGGAAGTAAAAACTATTAAATAATAATAATATTCTAGTTTAGGGGCTGACCATTGTAAATAATTGTGAATGTAATATGCTTATCAATGTTTATCAATAAAGATTATATTAAAATTATTTTTTGTATGTCTTTTATTACTTATTTTAGGGACAGAATACCAAATACCGGCTGTAATTAACATTAGTATGTACTTGAATAAAAAAAATTCTTAAATTTCGAATCAGTATTTCATCGAGAAGGCGTTAGATGAGGAACACCTGTGTTCGGACATTCACTTGTGACACTACGAGTGTAATATATATCTACTGCGTATTTGATGGTTTTCGATTATAACTACTAAAAATAGGTCGGAAAATAAATAATGTCCATGCACGCTAGACCAAGTCACATACACAAAATATTTTTTTATAAGATAGGGTGACAAACGAGCACACAATCCACCTGATGATAAGTGGTTGCTGTGACCCATAGACATTCACATTTATCCTCAATGAAGAATCAAAATGCAGATGCGTCATCACCCGTGAGGACTAAGATGGAATGCCTCTTTTCCAGTAAAATAGGTCTCCGGTTCTCTACACTCACCATACGAAACACAGCAGCGTTAAGCTGCTATTTCACGCTGGTTTTCTGTGAGAGCGTGGTCCTTCCCCGGTCGAGCCGACCCATTCGTGCTACAACTATACTACTAATATAGCTGCAGCATGGCTCTACCACGTGTATCTATAATGTGTATATTACTGCAGTAAGTATTTTTGACGAGTCCACAGCAGGCCATAAGCCTTTCCCGAAGCACGAAGAATTTGCCTTAATAACCGTACTAGACAGAAGCGTTAATACTCGCATTACCAAATATCTCACAACTTTGACTATGCTCCCTGTCACTAAATGATATTTATGGCGTGTAGTGGTGGCGAAATAAAATCCACTCCGCTGTAACATCTCACAGGTGTCATAAAAAGGGACAGGGGGATATGAAACAAGAGTTGGGTGTCAGCATCGTTAACAACGAAAAATAATAAAAACTAGGGAAAATCCTCCCTATTAGGTAACATATGAGAGAGGCCTACTCGTATGTTTAGCTGTGAATTTTTGATAGACTGTAATGAATGAATGATTACAATGTCCTCCGGACCTAATGTCGGTCACAGCGGCTCGTCTAACGGGGACTAGCCGCAGCGTAGGAAAGGATTATAGTGCCCGAGTGTAGTGCAAACATAGGTGCACTCCCTCGCGCTCCCTCACTGTCTTAGTCCGATGGGACGGGAACCCAACACGATTGAAGAGAGATCAGGCGCATTACTAATGACTTTACGTGCTTTCTGAGGCACATGGGTGAAACACCACCAACTTCTTGACTCCGGAATGTAATTGAGAACTTCTTGACAGAAAAAACCATAATCTAATTTTGGTCCGACCCGTGATTCGAACCCGGGACCTCATGATTAAAAAACCTATTTCCAACCACTACACCAACGAGTATCATGTAAGAATGTATTATGAATGGTCATAAGATAATTGCTGCCGTGTATCAAAAATCGTAGAATCTTCCTGATGTTTCCTGCTGTCGTACGTAACTACAACCAGAAGACGAAAATATCTGCGTACTTCAAGGAAACCTACAAGCACCACTAACACCAATTCCTATAAATGACCAAGTTACCTGTACTACGGATTATTTGTAACGTTTCATTTATCATGCGTGACCAGTGCACGTTATATTGGCTCCCAACAGTGGGCCACGAACGAACCTACGGTGGCTCTCGAAGTTTCTAGTGCACAAGTACGTACGCGAGTGTGTGCCTAGTGTACCTACGCGTTTATCCCTTGATATTGAGACCCGAACTACAACGACTCAGTCATAATGCCGCCGCGAAAACCACGTAATAATGACACCAGTTCGGATGAGGAACCGGTGAATCCGACACCTGTGGCACCTGTAAACCCGACACCTGCAGCACCTGTGCTTATGTCCGAGAACCAGCTTTCGTCGCTTCTGGCCGCCTTCTCTGCGGCACAAGCCGAGGCAAACCAGAAGCTCGTCCAGTGTCTTCTGACATCGCACTTAGGGGCGCCGCCGAATGTCGAGCCTAGCGCTGTCGGCGCAGCCACTGTCACGACACTACGGTCGTCATCTATCCCAGGGACATTCGTAAAATGCACTGCACGGTTCGACGGTTCGCCTCAACACCCGGAAGCAGTGGAAGCATTAATTGACGCGGTGGAAATGTATAAGGATTGTGCATCAGTTAGTGATGAGATGGCACTTCGCGGACTCCCTATGTTACTTTAAGGAGACGCAGCAGTGTGGTGGCGTGGAATTCGAAACGAAGTACACTCGTGGTCGGATGATGTGAAACGCCTGCGCTCGATGTACGGAGTTCCACGACCTGCATATAAGTTGTACCGAGACGTTTTCGCCGCCGAGCAAGGATCGGAGCGTGCCGATATTTTCGTCGTAAGGATAAGGGCTTTGTTGACGAAACTACCCTATGAGTTACCAGAGGAAGCGAGATTAGATATGATTTACGGGCTTCTACATAAGAGAATCAGAAAACGATTGTCGAGAGATACTGTGAATGACATCGAATCTCTCATTGAAAGATCTCGAGCTATAGAAGAGTCGCTGACGGAGAACGCTGCGCTGCCGCCGCTCGCGCCGCCGCTCGCGCCGCCGCTCGCGCCGCCACAACCGCAGGCGTCGCCGCTGAGTGTGCCCGCGAGACCTAGCCGCAGGCATGGCGAGGGACTTCAACATAGTACTTCGGGTTCGAGTTCGACGGCGTCGCAACTGCGTGCCCCCGACTCCGCTTCGCAGTCATCACGTGACCGTGTACCTGTGCCGCGTAGTGATCAGTGTATGAGCAAAAATAGTGATGGTGAGAGAAAGCTATTCTGTGTTTACTGCAAAAAGCGAGGACACACCCGTGACTCCTGTGATAAGTTAAGTAAAAGATCTCATTCTTCTAACTCAGGTATTGGTTGTTATAATTGTGACGAGAAGGGTCATATTAGAGTAAATTGCCCTAAATGTTTACAAAATATACCTTCTAATGATAACATTAAGGTTGATAATGTATTTTCGTCCATCTTTGTTATTAATTGCATCTCGAATTCGAAATCCAATTGTAAGGAGCAAGGTCGGCCTATCGTACGAGTGAGTATAGGGGGATACTCGGGTACCGCGTTGTTAGATACCGCCGCGCGTCGTAGTGTTGCGAGTTGTTCACTTTATGCGTTAATGAAACGTATCGGTTTAAACTTTAGTACCGAACTGATGTCGGTAAAGCTTGCTGACGGTACTATTAGGAATAGTGAGGTGCTACTCACGGAGCTCAATGTTCAACTTGCTTCCTTAAGTATACCTATCGAGTTCATTATTTTACCGAATGCCGTTAATAACGATACTTTGTTAGGTATTACTTTATAACAAAGGCTAGAATGATTATTGATTTTGATAAAGGGAATTGGCGTACAGTTGATCAGCCCCGGACATTTCACGCCTTGTCATGGGTAACTCGTCGCGAACCTGTTGAGTGCGCCGCCGCATTGAACGTGTTGCGAGAAGACGAGGCCACCGCGCTATCGGAGTCGGAGGTGTAGACTGGCGAATCTATTAGGTGAGTATTTTGACGTTTTTGATGTTGTCGGAGAACCGACACCATTCGCGGAACACTATATAGATACCGGTGACCACCCGCCAATTGCTGTGCCCCCGTATCGGGTCACGCCTGCGAAGAAGGAAATCATGCGCGCCGAGTTAGACAAGATGCTGGCTGAAGGTGTGATTGAGGAGTGCGAATCCGCCTGGGCCGCACCATGGGTTTTGGTACCGAAGTATAATGGTACCTATAGGTTTTGTGTAGACTATCGCAAGCTAAATGCGGTTACAAAGACAGACGCATACCCCATGCCGCGTATCGACGAGCTGTTACAGTCGACCAAGAAGGGCTATGTGATGAGCTCGCTAGACCTCCGTAGTGGGTACTGGCAGGTCAGTACTGCGGATAGGGACAAAACGGCCTTCGTAACACCTTTTGGGACCTACCGCTTCACGCGTATGCCGTTCGGCCTGAAGGGAGCTCCGGCAACGTTCCAGCGACTCATAGATCGCTTCCGGTCAGGACCTTCACTTGGTGGTAGGCATATTCTAGGTTATCTTGATGACCTATTGGTAATTTCAGAGGACCTTGAGTCCCATTTGTCTGATTTACGTGCGGTATTTGAGCGTCTTCGGATGTTCAAGTTAAGAGCCAACCGCGAAAAGTGCGTGTTCGCCAGGGACCGGCTCAAATACCTAGGCCACGTAATATCAAACGACGGTATATCTCCAGACGAATATAAGGTGCGTGCTGTCCTAGAGATGAAAGAACCGACTAATCTCCAGCAACTTCGTACCTTCCTGCGAACTTGCTCTTGGTTTAGAAAGTTCATACCAGAATTTGCGAAGGTAGCTGAGCCGCTTACGCGCCTTACCAAAAAGTCACAGATCTGGCAATGGGGAGATGATCAGGCCAAAGCCTTCGTACATCTTAAGTCTCTTCTGACTTCCCCACCCATTCTTGTTCAGCCGGACTACTCGAAGCCATTCATCATTAGGACGGACGCCAGCGATTTTGCCCCAGGTGCAGCTTTACTCCAGGGCGAGTCTCCATGGGTTGAACACCCAATCGAGTACGCGAGCCGTCTCCTAACGTCAGCCGGAAAAAATTATATCACTACGGAACGGGAGGCGCTAGCAGTTGTTTGAGCCGTGGAAAGATTCCGTGGGTATATTGATAGTCACCAGGTAGTGGTCAGAAGTGATCATCAACCCCTGAAGTGGCTGTTTTCTGTCAAATCGCCTAGTGGTAGGCTTGTTCGTTGGGCTTTAAAGCTACAGTCCTTTGGTCTTCAAATGTAATACACTCCTGGGAAGGCTAATGTGCTAGCCGACACACTTAGTCGTCCAGTCATCGATAGCACTCTGACGGAATGTGGTGTCTGCCCCGTGTCTGTGGACGTTCCACGTTGGGACGCTACTTCGATCCGTGAAGCCCAGCTGGCTGATCCAGAAGTAGCCAAAATACTTAAGGACTTGGAAAGTTCTGATGAGCTGTCAGTTCATCGGTGGTCGGAGAGGGGGTACCTGGTAAACCAAGGCGTTTTGTACCGGTACGTGGACGACACCGATACGTAGGAGCCTCAGCTGGTAGTACCTGAGAGTTTGCGGGGCAGAGTTATGTTTGAGTATCATGACTCGCCAACCGCCGCTCATGGAGGTATTCATCGGACTTTGCATCGTATACCCCAGCAGTTCTATTTCCCTGGTGTGAGACGCCATATCACCGATTACCTGAAGACCTACACTGAGTGTCAGTGGTATAAGTCTTCCAACTTGAAACCGCCTGGCTTACTCCAGACTCCGGTACCGGCTCAACGATTCGAGGTTATTGCCGTCGATCTCTTTGGACTGTTACCCAAAGGACCTCAGGGTGAAAGGTGGATTTTGATAGTTGTGGACACTGCTAGTAAGTGGTTCGAACTCTTCGCTCTAAGCGAGGCCACAGCCGAAACCTGTGCGAAAACTCTTGTTGGTCAAATCTTTATGAGATATGGACTTCCTAGGCGGATGATCTCTGAGAACGGTGTCCAGTTTGTGGCTGATGTTATGCAGAAGGCTCTGTTAGTCCTAGGTGTTAAACAGAACCTGGTGCCTTTGTATCACCCAGAAGCGAATCCCGTAGAACGGAAGAATCGGGACCTTAAAGCTCACCTCGCCATTCTCGTTGAGGGTAACCATAAGCAATGGTCTGAGGTATTGCCTTTCGTCCGATTTGCCTTTAATAGCTCAGTCACCGTTTTTACAAGTACCACTCCGGCTTTCTTGACATTTGGACGTGAGCTCCGTTCTCCTTTGTCGGTTCAGGCTGATCTACGGGCGGTCATCAAGTCTGAAAACTTAGACCCTCAGATTACGCCTTACCTTTTGAAGCTTGCTGACTCACTCTCAGAAGCTAAGGAGAACATTGAACATCAACAGGATCTTCGTAAGCTCCAAGCCGATTCCGATCGCCGTGATTCGGATCCATTACAAGAAGGTGATTTCGTACTCATGAAGTCACATGTCTTGAGTAATGCTGCTAAGGGTGTTACTTCTAAATTCATCCCGAAGCAGGATGGTCCGTATGTAATCTCCAAACAGGTGAGTCCAACTACTTACATTCTAACTTCGCAGAAGACTGGTGAAGTCGTTGGTAAGTATCATGTGTCGGATCTACGTAAATACCATGACAGGGGTGGTGAAGAATGTCCGGAGCCGGTCGCTCCTAAGCGTCGTAGGGGTCGTCCTCGTAAGGATCGCTGCTAGGAGTTAACTATTTTTTTATATGATAAGGGTGAAAAACGAGCACACAGTCCACCTGATGGTAAGTGGTTGCTGCGGCCCACAGACATCTACATCTATCCTCTGTTACAGATCAAAATGCAGATGCGTTTTCACCCGTGAGGATTAGGATGGAATGCGCCATTTCCAGTAAAAAGAGCCTCCGGCCACCTGCACTCATCAAGCGAAACGCAGAGGTAAACCTCTACTTCACGCTGGTATTCTGTGAGGTCGTAGTACCACCCCGGTTCGAGCCGGCCCATCCATGCGGCAACAAAAGCTGCCGCCTGGCTCTACCACTGTTAGTTTGACCGTTCATGATGTTCCCTCTTGGTCGAAAGGGGGAGTATGTAGCGCGCTGATACGTACCTATATCACCCGATGTCTCACTATCCCCTCTCGTACGATGCCCCGCCTGCGCCACGGGATCACGCCACTCGTCCGAACCTTTGACTGCCGATACAAGCAGTACGCTAGCCTATTAGCTCTAGCCGTTAAACACAACTAAGTTCCTTCATTCGACACCAAAACACCACGTCGCGAAAAGATTCAAAATACGCCTCGTTGACACGTAAACTAACAAGCCAACAACACACAAAAAAGGGCGCTTAACGCGACGGCACAATTATAATGATTTCCTGACGATCAACCGGGAGAAGCTCTCGAACAAGGAATGCGCGGTTCGAATCCTAGATCGTATATCTACTCGCCGCGCGCGTGCACAATTCCGCATCCCCGAACAAGTTAAATATTGCAAAATTGACATATCCACGTAAGGAAGTAACACGCACTTAATCTAACTATCTGGACCCGACAACGGTTGCGTGAACTTCAGCCGCAATAAGCCAGCTACGTGGGTTCCCCGCTTCGCGGCCAGTGGGCAACTCCCTCATCATCGCCCACGCGTCGAGCCACTGCAAGCCGCACACAGCCTCCCCACCTCGGCGCTTATCTCACCTACATATCATCGGGTGAGGTGCCAGCTCGAACGCAATTGGGTGGCGTTCAAACATAACCAAATTTGGCATAAACAAACCCCCGTCCCGGACATAAGGACTTATGTCCGCGAGCAAACCGACAAGCGAGACAGGGTCGCAACGGCACGTTGCAAGACCGAATCTACACCAAAACTAGGCCACCTTAGGCACCCCATCAGATCTTGCAACCCTAGCCACCGCCTCAAAAAATAGCCTTAATGTGGCAAGCCGGAGGGTTTACCTCCGCTGGATGCCCCTGGTGAGCATCGCAGCACCTTAACAAGTCCTGTCCTGGACAGAAGTCCGACGACCTCTTTCAAACACCTATCTGTGCCCCTATGATTCGTTCCGCAATCCGATCGGATGAGCGGCTGAGCGCCCCCCCCCCCCCCCCCCCGTGGGAGTCGAGGGCTCGGGAGAGCCCTGAGAGTAAACGTCGTTCGCACCCAGACACAAAACGGCATGGTGACAGCCCTGGCAGCGCGATGACATCACTTCTAAATACAAATTACTAAGCGGCTCAAATACAAATTAATTAACAAATACAATTCCTATCAAATCAAGTTAAATACAAATTACACAAATACGGATTACTATTTATTAAATTAAATACAAATTACAATACAAATAAAGATACACACCACAGTCGATCTAAAAAAATGCCTCGCTCAGACAACCGACACTTCGACAATTAATCTACTATAATTATACGAAAACGATAATTATCCGATTACGTGATAATAACCATCTACCTACCCGACGCATACCTAGCCCTAACAAACTCCCGCTTGCGCAACTCAACGGGCGTGGCTTTCGATTCAACCCGCGAACAAACAAAAAAAGCAAGCAACAAAGAAAAAGAATTTTATTATTAAGTACTACGGCCGGGCGTGATTGTAGACACAAATTAAACCAATCCAAACACGCTCCCTGCTACGAAAGATGTTACGGCCCGCAGCTGTCCCTGCAAAGGTAGAATATCCCAGGGTCCATAAGTGGAAGATTCAACGGGCAAACGCGGGTCGAGCCCAATGGCCATATGGAGAAATGTCCTATCATACTAAACTGTAGGGAGAAGGCTAAAAAAATATAGTACGTACCTGTATCCGAATCTAAGACCACCCCAAGGCTCGGTTAGGCCGTAGGTGGGTGTAAGGTGCATGGAAAGTAGTATTTAGTGATGTGTATGTGTCTGAGGCCTGGCCCAGCTGAGGAGACCGGCAGCGGCCGACTTCCATGCCGCCCCACAATGCTGCATCACTCCAGCAGGATTCATCGCTGGACCATTTCTTTCTTCATGTCACTATTTCAGTCTATTAACTTCATTGTACATTTAACTAACTTAAATTCGCCTAATTCCTCATTCATCGTAGAATAGAACACGTAATACCCGACAAAGTAACGGACAGTAGTTCAAAGATCAACATTCAATGTCCCGGATTCATTTATCACCAAATTACGAATAGTGAACTAACTAATGCCATGTAGTGGCGGTCAAGAATATCCACTAGAATAGAATAGAATAGAATAGAATGATTTTTATTCAATATGGATTATTACATAATGCTTATTGAAAGTCATTATTTTATTTACCACTGGTTCGGAAAATACCTCTGTCCTGGGAAGAACCAGCAAGAAACCCAGCGGGACTTTTTTTTTTAAACATAATTTCACTTAACAATAATTTTGATTATACAATTTTAAATGAATTTTCATAGAACCAGCATGGTGGCGATCACCTTATTCCCAGGGGTTATTTTCACTCATGTATTCCTTGATATTATAATAACCCTTTTTGTACAGTTTTTCTTTAATAAAACTTTTAAACTTGTTTATTGACAAACTTTGAACATGTTCTGGGATTCTGTTGTAAAAGCGTATACATTGCCCCATAAATGAATTACTAATTCTGTGGAGTCTTGTAAGTGGCATTACAAGCTTATGTTTGTTCCTAGTGTTTAAGGTATGAACATCCTTATTCTTATTAAAGCTATTTATGTTTTTATGTACATACATTACATTTTCATAAATATATTGCGATGCCAAAGTTAATATGTTTATTTCTTTAAATTTTTCTCTAAGGGACTCTTTACAATTTAGATTATAAATCGCCCGTACGGCTCTCTTTTGCAAAACAAATATAGCTTCAATATCAGTCGCATTACCCCATAGCAAAATTCCATAAGACATTACGCTATGAAAGTAACTAAAATACACTAACCTAGCTGTCTCAACATCTGTGAGACTTCTAATCTTTCTTACAGCATATGCTGCAGAACTAAGTCTGCTTGCTAATTTAGATATATGGGGGCCCCATTGAAGTTTCGCGTCAATAGTAATACCGAGAAAAACAGTGGTATCCACAAGACTCAACTCCTCCCCATTTAAGAGCACATTGGTTTTCGAATGTTTTACATTAGGTATTGTAAATTTAATACATTTTGTCTTATTGCCGTTTAAGAGCAAATTGTTGGCGTTAAACCAATGTACTAGTTTCGATAGAGCATTATTTACATCGTCATATTTAATTGACTGCCGTTTCAGTTTGAAAATTAAAGAGGTATCGTCAGCAAATAATACTATATCGTGATTGTCCCCTACAAGATAAGGTAAGTCATTAATATAGATTAAGAACAGGAATGGGCCAAGAATCGAGCCCTGAGGAACGCCCATTGATACTACCGATCCGGAGGAACATTTACCATTAATGACGACTTTTTGAGTTCTGTTACTTAAATATGAAGTAATAAGTTTAAGCGCCAAATTTTTTACACCGTAATGTTGTAGTTTCCTGATTAATGTATCATGATGAACACAATCGAAAGCCTTGGAAAGGTCACAGAAAATACCTAAGGCATCTTGTGAATTCTCCCAGGCATTAAAAATATATTTCATAAGCTCAACACCGGCGTCAGACGTCGAGCGACCCCTTGTAAAACCAAATTGATTTTTATGAAGTAATTTATTTGTATTAAAAAAAATTAACAATTGATCCAAAATTATTTTTTCAAAAATTTTACTGAGAGTTGGTAGTACAGAAATAGGTCTATAATTAGCGGGGTCCAATGTACTACCAGATTTAAATAAAGGTATTACTTTACTATACTTCATTAAATCAGGAAACACACCAGAATCGATACAAGTATTAAAAATAATAGCAAGATGAGGTGCAATTAAATCTATTATGGACGTAATCACTGTAACGGAAATCCCCCACAAATCTGCGGTTTTCTTTACATCAATGGTTTTGAAGTATTTTACAATATTATGCGGTAATACTTTTTCAAATCTAAATTCTTTTAAACAGGTATTAACATTCTGTTTAAGTAATGATTCGGCGACAGTTGGAGAAGCATTCAATGACTCTGTTGTCAAGATAGGAACATCAGTGAAATATTTCTCAAACACCGCTGCAACTTCTTGATTTGATTTAGTCAATTCATTATTAATTTTTAATTGATAGTTTGAATTACGAGGTTTCTCATTACCGGTTTCGCTGTTAATTATACTCCACGTCATTTTAATTTTATTCTTAGCTGCCTTAATTTTGTTACTAATATGTAATGATTTGGCTGTGGAGCAAACTCTTTTAAACATTTTAGAATAATTTTTTACATATTCTTTAAAAGCATCGGAAAGATTATACGATCTTTCATGGTAAAGGTCATATAACCTTCGTCTGCTTTTATAAATTCCTACTGTCGCCCACTCATTAAATGCCTTGCGACTGTTTCTGGAGAATGTTTTAGAAGTGAATGTTTTATTAAATTCATTGTTTATAAAGGTAAATAATTCTCTATATAAATAGTCTGCATTGTTCTTATAAGAAAGGGATGGAAGGATTTTTAACATATTACTTCTAAATCTCTCCAGGCGTTTTGCATTAATAGGAACAAACACAATTTTCTCATTTACCTGTTTTTTGTGCATATAAGGTAACGAAACCAGTTGTCCACAGTGATCTGAACTAAGTTTTTGAATTATTGATTTGTTGATTGGTACAACACC